GTAAAGAGGTCGTAATAGACTACGAAATGATATCATCTCTCAATATTTATCGTCTTAATGTCTTATTTAAATTTATGAAAGGCATTAACTGTTTCAAAGTTCAATACATTTATGTAGTCCTAATAATTTTACCTGATTCTTAGGCTGGCTCTCAGTTAACACAAATTTGAAGTGTGTGCGAGAATCACAAAGTCATCCCACATGCATACTGAAACGGTAGAAGACGAAGATTTGTTTTCAATGCACAATTTGCACAGATCTTCGTGTTGTAGTACTTCTGGACTTCATACTGTGTTTCTATGTGTTCCTTTCACGTCTCTTATGTATCTTTAAAGGCTGTAGCGTTTGCCTTCACTGAAATCAAATCTATCTCCCTGCTATTTGATGTTTTTATGCTTATGAACATCTCTCTCTACATATATACTACTGGTAAATCTTATCAGTAGCACTCGCCACAATATGTGTGATATCAAATCTGATCAATAATGCTTGTTTTTAACAGGTATTTGACAACTCAGTTGTAAAGAGAATTGGAACATGTTGTCTAAAAGGGCGATGAAAGCTCCACAGTTAAATCAACAACCAACTCAGAGAATACAACTAATTCAATAACATCCACCTGAGCTACAAATCTTCTCCATTATTTCAAGAATTAGAAGCACAAGATCATATTTCAATCAGTCTCACGCGACAGTTATTTTCTTATTATATTCATAAAAGTCAATCAATACTTGAACCAGAAATTATACTTTGCAATCACTCAGAAAAATTGCTTAAAGTACAATGGTTTTAATGTACATTGAAATGTTCCAATTTTTAAATAAGTAATACGATTATAAAGAAATATTAAATCATGTAGAACAGTTGATGAATGCTAATATTGTAACGACAGAAGTTCGAGTTCCACTCAAGAGACTACATGATGCACGATATTACTCAACAGTTTTCTGAGAGCATCGCCAAGCCATCTCCATTTCATTCAAAATATTTGTTGGGCAAAAGTTAAGTACTACTTTCAATTGAGAATATATTTTATTTTTCTTAGTGAACATATATAAAGTTATATTGTGGTGAACGCTGTCTGCACGCCAAAATTCTAGACAACAATTGACGTCAGTCTTTACGTACAGAACCAGGGTCATGAGAAAAACGCAATAATAAAGCCTAATCTTGAGGAGCTCACCAACCAATCACAGAAGACACAACGTGTGCAAATACGATTCGCAGATATATGGCTTAACTTTCTAAGAAATGGTCGCAAGCACTACAGAATAACCTTCAGTAAGAAAACAACCAATCAGAAGATGTTGCTTCTCCGCTAACAATAACGCTAATAATAATGTACATAAAAATCTATAAATATCTGTTGATTTTCTCAATAAACGATCTGTTATCTGGCTCTTGTCTTCTGTCGTTACAATACTAGCTCCCTTAAAAAGAATGTTAGATTAAATAGAAATTTACATGATGTGGGAGGACAAGGAAAGATCAGAGCAAAGAGATAATCCAAGGTATATAACATTAGACTTAATTTCAGATTCAGTGGCATATATGATACAAGAGTCATGAAGACTTAGCAGTCCATGTAAATCTTTAATTGTCGCATAAATTTCCTAATACTTTTATCTGAAATTCCCTTTAGTGTTAGATTTTTATGCATTTTATCACCTACACACATGCTTTTGAACTGTAATTCTACTATTCATAAAAGCTCAATATTATTTGATAAAACATCAGTGTTGTCGATAACCCCTACTCTTTAAATATTACGGATATGTATATAACTTTACAGCGAGATGGAGTTATCGAAAAGAATATTTCATGCTAAATTTTGATTTTTTTTTTGTCTTCTAAACGTCTACAGAGTAATTTTCGTCATTTTGAGATAGTTATGACAGAGAGATATTGGGTTTCGAGTTTGTCTAACTTGACTAGAATGCATCTCCAAAACACGACATTATCAACTCTCCATTTTTGAAATTATTTTCCACACTGAGATAGACACAATAGTCAGACTGGATAAACGACGACTGGAACGACAATAACAACCACTTTTATTATATAAAATACATGGTATATTATATTTACAAAACCTCGGAAAATTAAGCCATAAATAAACCAATCAAAACTATCCATTCAGATCATTTTGCTTGTACACGCATAAATCATGAGTTCATGACTAACCAAGAGTGTTGTCTGTCCTAAAAGAGATAGCTTCTTGTATTTTTAATCATTTTTTTTTTCATTTTGATAACTATTTTCGATATCAAAGAATTCAAGAAGTAAATGAAATAAAATGATTTTGACCACTGGAAAATTACTTTTGATAAACATTTGTTGCAGCTAATTGTCGTCTTGTATAAAAAGCTGTCATAGTTTAATTTTGCATGAGAAATTCAAAAAGAAGAAGGCATTTGAAATTTTGAAATTAACTCAAGTTTGTCAGTGTAACTCAGGGATTCCTTTGAAAACCCTATACAACTCTTCTTATTAAGAAATCTGGGGCAAAGCATGTACCACAACTGTAGCAGAATATTATGAAAATTATTTTACAGATTCTTTTTAACTACAGTAGCAAATAGTATAAATCAGAAAAAGTGACTGAATATACCTGTTTCACAGCGGGAATAACTTATTGATTGAAATTATAAATGGCATAAGTCCTGATTATCAAGAAATCATAACCTTTAGAGTAGGTGGGAAATGACATCATCCTATGCGTATGTGTAATCATGCATACTTTAGGGAGGATTTATCATCTTTTATAAATAAGTGCTACAGAAGCCGGCTGAGTTGATGAAATCTATTACTTCTGGAAATACACATTCAGTGTTATCAATCAAAAAATGTTCAAGTAGTGTATAAAGAAATAAATGTCTACGCATCTTTTATGTCCATTTATAAAACTTAGTGGGGTTTCGAATCATAGATCTGGGAAACCTAAACGATAGGTGAGTTCAGGCCACTTCTGTGGGCTCACAAACAACTTGTCACCACATCAAACCAAAATTGTGAACTCTAAAAACATTTGAAAGCATGCAGATATACAGACAAAAGTATATATATTGAAAATTAGATGCTGAAAATTCCACACTGTATCAAACTTAATGACATGAAATGAAGTGATTATATATATGTATATATATATATATATATATTCCACTTTCAGCTTACTAGCACGAAACCTAGGTTCAAGGCTTCCTGTTGATTACCTCCAACTATCTAATATCATCAAATCAATTTGCACTGTGATGGTGAGCTACCTAGTATAGTTGCCACATTGCAAACCTGACTGATAGAATTCAGTCTGCACCAAAGAAAGGACTAGACACGTCACACTAGTTACTAGTATCCAATCAAAACTACCGTGTTAACATTGAATTAATATTTTCACAGAACATCTTTCCATTGTCTGATGAACTGCTCAAATTTTATTCTTATTTCATTTTATTCCTTTGCGTTTCCAGTGGAACATAGGGCCTAAAGCTTGAGGTTTGAATTTTGAGAAGCAGTGGTGTTTTGTACGCAGTGAAGTTTCTAGCTTCATGTCCAACCTTCTCTTTATATCAGGATCTATAATAGTGGCTGAGCAAGATTTGAAAGTGTGTCAGCAGTGGACCAAACCCTGGACTGTGTACGGCGTGATTAACGAATACTTCACCGATGAACCACCGAGGCTTAAAACTATCAAAATATCAGATTGCCCAATTAACTGACAATAATTTAAATACTCACAGTTAATTATGACAATGAAATAATAAAATTTCAACGTTCCATCTTTTAAACAATATCAAATTATTTGATTTTCACAAATACACAATACGAAAATCAAGAGATTATAATAAGTGAAATAAAAATGTCCTCATACAACGATATGAGAAATTTGTAACGCATAAACATTGATCTGTTTGCCATATGTCCAACATATTTATTAACACCAGGAAGGTACTAGACAGTTGTTTCGTCCTAGTTTGTGACTCTATAGAAATGCGCACCCATGAACCCTCCTTCGGGCATCACCACCAGGTTTTTCAGATTACAAGATGTGCTCGTCGACCATTCAGCCACCGGGAAGTGATCAAATTCGAAATCTATCAAACCATTATAAACTAACAATGGAAAATATTTATTAACACTAAAATGTATAACGCTTGGAAACGCTACCATAATAAAAACATCGTCGAAAACTTTTACCGGCTTTTTCTTAAGAATAATGAAAAGGCAAGCAACCGTTTTGTTTTCTACAGTTTTATTTTCTTTATTAAACAGGCGCTTTTTGGTTATTGGGAAATATTTAAAACACGACTTTACTCGAAAAGGAACTCAGTTGAAACATAATGCATGAGAAAAATTGCGTGATGATACAAGTAATCGTAAAGTGTTTTCACGCATAGTATAAAGAATGTCACAAAAGATATTCCAGATATGTAGGAAAAAATCAATAAAACACCAATTAAAACAATCAAACGTAATACAAAATTGCATAGAAGTGAAGTAAATGAGGAAAGTTAAACTGTAATTGGTCTCTTTCGTTCTGTTGTGTCAAGGAGGTGGAAAGGAGAGGTAAATTCGTTTTAACGACATATATATATATATATATATACTCGCCCGAAAAAATTAAATGTATGTAGAAATTAGAGAACAGGGAACAAAAATGACCTTGAGTAAATAAAGATTGTATATTTGGTTTAAAACTGGTATTTGTTTAATTGAACTATTGAATTCAGCAATGTAACCGATGTGTAACTTGCATATCTAACAGTACTACAGAGTGAGAAGCCAGATACATACGATAAAAATGATATTTTTATAATAACTGGGTATTGGTAAAACTCAAAGTAGCATAATAACTAAGAAGATTGACATTGTGCAATTGGCGGTTAGAAATGTAGAAATAACAAAATATACAGGATGTTTGGATAAAAGAAATTATTCATCACATTAGTTTTTTATCCAAACATCCTGTATATTTTGTTATTTCTACATTTCTAACCCCCAACTGGGTATTGATTATGTGTATGGCGGAGGATAACCAAGTGGTTGGATATAATTTAAATCTTGTTTTTGATTAATTCTTGAATTTCCCGCTGGAGGATTATTTAACTCTGGATATTGATTAACATTATTATTATTGTTATTATTTTGAATTTGTAAAGGCCGCTGATTATTGACTTCAGAGCTTTTTAAATGAGGCGCATTTTCACCACTGGAATTATTCAGTGTAGAAATTGTTGTTGAAGTATCAGGAAAACAACCACAACAAGAACAACATGTAATGATAAAAAGATTAATTAAAGTTAATATACCATCTAGAGTGATAAGTGAACATTGTACAATCATCTCTTCACGATATTCATAATATGCGTATCCATTTGTAATGTCTAAAATCCAATAAATTGAAATTAATGAAAAAAGTATGCCTAGAATGCATACAATCAGTGTAAATATACTAGAAAAGATGGCTAACTTATAAAATTTTCCATCAACTTTACTTTTAGCTAGAGTAAAAGTTATTGCAGTCAATAGAATGAATGGACTTGTCCAATAACCGGCATAAAATGTAACTGGTACTATTCTTTGCATATATGTGTATAATTCACAAATAACCAGAGTAACAATGATTGTCATTGAGAAAATGGAGGATACTAATTGAAAGCATGATATAATATTTCTTGATTTTTGAAGTTTATTTTCCATATTTTCGTTTGTTTTATTTATTTATTTAAAATGTGAATATGGGTTCTGTTTAACTGTCCCTTAAAATGCTTTTTTTTCAAAATGTTTTCAGAGTTTATGAGTTGAGAAATACAGTTTACTCAATATATGTATATATTTATTTACTTACTTTGCAACACCTTAGTTATCTACGATTTGATTGGTTGAAAAGGGAGATGGATAAATGCAATCTGTTGCTATAACAACGAGTAATGGTCATCATTATACTAAAAATTTTTTAAAAAATATATGGCAAACAGGAGGATTTCTTAATTATATTATATTTTCATTCTTGTACGATTATTTATTGATGTGTATATCCTGTTTACGATTGAATAGAATGATTTGAGTTTATCTTGAAATGCATATGTCTATTGGTAAAAGTGAATATTAGATATTTAGTTTTTTCTAATATGTGATGCTTTCATTCAGAACAACTAGCAAAGTAGATATATAAGGAAAACTAAATCCTAAACAGAATCCATTAAATTAATGCATTAAGTACAATTTAAAAACCAAAATACCACTTACCGTAATCCCTGCTGGGAGTTAGTGTCACTGAAGAGTCAGAGACAAGGACGAAACATATGTCCAGTATTCCCTGCTGATTTTCAATGGTTGTCTAATTAACATCAGTTCAAACTCGAAGAGAACATAGCTCAGCACAAAGAATGTTCTTCGAGTAGTTTCAAATCAATTCTCTGCAGTTATACGCTTTTCTAAATGGTCACCTAAATCGATAGAAAATGTCCATTAGAAATTTCCAAAGACTGATTACTGAGCAAAGATTTATATTTTCGACAATTTCTTTATCACGTTCTACAGTTATATATCCATAATAATGAAAGAATTAGGATTATTAACAACATTAATGTTTAAATAACATCGAATCAATCAATATGAGTAGATTACAGTTCAATAGCATCTGTAAGAGTAATAACATGCATCAACAACATAACACTATACTGAATATCAGACAAATTAGGGAAAATTATAATAATACAAAATTCATCAATTTATAGGCACAACAGAAGGCCAGGGAAGTAGTAGTGGTTGCACCTATTTCTTGTACACACAGAGCGACGGTTGCTTAAGGCGAATCGCGATGGCCCCTGCTGTTTGGAGTATGCAGTACCTGGACGCTTTCGGCAGTTTAATTGGTGCCCGATAGATGATGGAGAAGGGTTCTTCAATGCTAGCTTTGTGGCTGGTTTTGACCAGATGTTCTAATATAGAAATATCGATGCTTCTAACTACACCTTTATTTAACCACACTGGTAGATATTCCAGAGCACGTAAAATCAAGTTCCTAGAGCAACGACAAATATAACTCGCTCCACCACAAACGTTCTTGAATTCGTAGATACAATTAGAAATGGTTGATCTAGGTACATCATCTTTCAATTAGGAATTACCACCGGTAGTGTAAAAAATAAGACTTGTAGTTTGCCAGCAGTAAAAGTTCTTTGAACAGATTTTCTTAACTTGTTATCAATTATTTCACTTGTTTCGTCACCCTTGAACTGCAGCTGTATATATAAAGGCTTCTTATTTACAGAGAGAGAATAGTCCTTTTCTGCTTTTTTGGTCATGTGTTTCCTGATGAACGTTTCTGGATAGCTATTGAGATCTGCTTAAAACAACCGTTGCTCTGTGTGCAGAAGAAACAGGTCCAACTAATACTGCTGCCCTAGACTTCTGTAGGGCCTATAAATTGGTGAAAAAAGAATTGCCATCCTGGATGTCCTCCTTACAAGAAAACCAGATGGTAGCATAAAAAGAAATTTGCATAGGAAAAGTACTTGGACGGGACAATAAATACATTTTCACAGCTTCGTTTGTCTCAAGTACAAAAGAAATTTAGTGGACCCTCAGCCACAGAGTTAGAGCTATATGCTCAAAAGAAATAATTAAAGATGAATTGAGCATTGTAAATGATACTTTGATCGAAAATGGCTATCCCGACAAATTTATCAATAAACACATGACAGAGAAAGCTGTAAAGGACTACTCACTGTCTGTAAACAAGAAGCCTCTTTATGTACGACTTCAATTCAAGGGCGATATACCAAGTGAGATAATTACGAGGAATTTAAGAAAATCAGTTCAAAGAACTTTTAATACTGGCAAACTACACGTACTATTACCTACACGACCGATGGTGCTACCTCGACTGAAAGGTGAAGTACCTAGACTAGCCACTTCAAATTGTATATCCCAATTCAACTGCGCTTGTGGAGAGAGTTATATTGGCCGTTGGTCTAGGAACTTGCTTTTTCGTGCTCGAGAACATCACTCACTATGACAAAGTAAAGGTGTAGTTAAAACCATTAACAGTTCGGTATTGGACCATCTGGTGCAAACCGGTCACAAAGCCAGCGTGGAAGAATCCTTCTCTGTAATCTACCAGGTACATAATAAATTGCCAAAATCATCCAAGCACCACATGCTCCAAAGAGCAATTCGCCTCAAACAACCAGTGCTCTGTGTTCAAAAGAAGCAAGTCCAACCCTGCTACTGACATGGACTTCAGGAGAGACTATGAATTCGCGAATTTGTACCATTACCTTCCCTAATATTTCTGACATTCAACTTATTTTATGTTTATGCTATTAAGCTGTAAGCTATCAACATTATTGATTCGATGTTATTTAAACATTAATGTTGTTCATAATACTAATTCATTCATTCACTATGATGTACATATATTTGTAGAGCCTGATGATGAAGTTCTCGAAAAGAGTATTCTTTGTTTAGTATACATTCTTTTGAGAATTTTATATTATTATATTTCCTAATTTGTCTGATATTCAGTGTAGTTTTATTGTGGAGAGTGCTACTGGTAAGATTTATCAGTAGTATGTATATAAAGAGACGTTCATAAGCATAAAAACATCAAATAACAGGGAGATAGATTTGATGTCAGAGAAAGCAAATGATAAAGCGTTGTGACGACGTGAAATGAACACATAGAAAAATAACCTGAAGTCCAGAAGTATCACAATACGACTATCTGTGTAAATTGTGCTTTGAAGATAAGGTATACATAATTTGGCTATATAGCGATACCGAGTCTTCGTCTTCTACTACTTCATTGTATTGTTGATGCATGTTAACACGTTTACAGATGCTACTGAAATTTAATCTACTGATATTATGGGTTCAGTGTTATTTAAACATTAATATTGTTAATAGTCCTAATTCTTTCATTACTATGGATGCTTATAACTGTAGAACCTGATGAAGAATAGGTTATCGAAAAGAATATTCTTTGTTCAGTGATCGGTCATGGAAATGCCTACAAAGGTTAATTGTGAATATCGATCGGTGAATTAAAAAGTGAAGTCTAGATGTTAGGCAGAATAATAATTTCATAAATTTGGTTCCCATGATAATTTTTCATAAAGCAAGAAAGATCAAATCTGCAATATAAAATAATATCACTCTTTTATTTCATAGGTTCTCATTAACTGAAATTAAAATGTTTACAGAAAAGAATGAAAATAGCATACTTCAGTGTTTGAAAAGTAATAGTGAAAATGACATAAAATACTAACGCTTCCGAAATATAAGCATTACAATGTTCATTTTAAGTTACCATCAAATTTATTTGCCTTCAAATGCAGGAAAGCAGGGGCAACGAGACAGAAGAATCTAATGAACAGTGTTAACTTGAAAATTCACACAACAATAGAAGAAGATTATTGTTAATAAGATTGTAATTGCAGGCGAATGGAAACAGAAATACTGTACATAAGAACAAGGGACTCAGAATATTTATAAAGTGTATTTTTTGGAGTTAGGTGTTTTCAAAGTAAAGAACAGGAGGAGAGAAAAACAAACCGAATAAATTTGGATTACAATATTGCAAAAATATTCATTCAGACATCTATAAATCACAAAATAATCGAGCAAAAATGGTATGGTGAATTTAGCATATCTAATACTGGTCGTAGTGGTACACCATTTTTCTGCACTTTAGGCGAGCCATATAGTCTTGGTGTGAACGTTCCGGTGGGTTTAAGTGACGTGTACTGACTCTGTGAGATGAAGCCTTGTTGTTTCAGTCTTTTCAGTGTTTCCGCTAACTGCATCTCTATCTTTTCAATCGGATCCAGAGAAGAGGAGATTTTTTGGAATTTTGAATTTGGATTATGTAACGGAAATATTGTATAACATGAGAACTTGAGACACCAGAAACTGTGTTACCTAAATGAATCCACTTGTAAGAGTGAACACTCTGAACACACATTGCGATGAGGATACAAATTTAAATAATTCAAGGTAAAGGCCTAATGCATATCATTATTGTCAAGATGGTTAAAAAGGGATTTGCGAAGATTCAGTAAAGTAAAAAGGAAAGTAAATAATAATTACCAAATGTAATACTTTGGACGATTCGAATGTAAATGTATCTGTAAAAGAGCACTATTAACATGCTGCGTTACCTGAAGATCGATATAACTAATAATAAGGATTATAATAAAACAGCGAAACAGTTCAACAGACACTCTGAAAAAGATATTCACAACCAACAAATAACTCCTAAAAACCTACCAACCATATGAACATGTAGCGGTAAATAATTCCCCAAAATTATTGACCAGAGCACTCATTGGATGCTGACCCTCACTGTTTAAGTCGACTTGTTTAGCTGAAGACTTCCGGTCAGGCATCCACGCCATTTGGTACTCCGTCGTGTCACGTTCGTGCACGATCCCTAGCCAGCTAAGCAATCATCTCGCACTCCGATTTGGTCCCGAAATAT